CAAATATTATTGATAAGAGTCTCAACATTGTAAGGCAAATCTAAAAAGGTTACATCTAAACAAAGGGATGTTTTTTTTGGGGGGGGGAGGGATGACGAATGATGTTAATACAGAGTTAGACATACATTGTATGCGAATATTCTGTCTGTACATCATGCTATTAACATCAATTTAAAATACACACTGCGACAATGTCTTACGCACATGCACATGTAATGTTAATTAAGGTTAGAAGCACATGTTTATCTTTATAAAATAACAAGTTGCTACTTAATAAACAGGGCTTGTTTTTGCCAGACTGTCCAGTCCGGAACACCGACGATTGCAGTTATTTGCCACGCATTATTGCCTGGTTAAACTTGAGGGAACTGGGGTTCCAATTTTAGCGGCGTGCGTGGGAGGATGCAAGTCAAACCACTCGTAAGAATTCACGAGGATGCAGCGTAAGGGCTCCCACGACGAAGGCTGTGGTAATTGAATGGATGGGGGCATCTCGCTGAAGAAATTACGGCGCCCAATTACTGTGGCATTTGGGATTTGCTGGGTGCAGGAAACCAATCACCCATAACGGGCATTTTCGAGGAGTATAAGAAGACTGTTTTTTTTTTAAAGCGCTCGCCAATAGAAACACACCATTAGCACAGCAGATTGGTGATAAGATTGTTCAGTTTGATGATAAAGGCATGACATTTGGCACACAGTCTAGAGTTTGCCATGGGAAAGATATTTGGCTATGGGCATTTGCAGATTTGTCCTTTGAAAAAAATATCACACAATAACAAGAAATTTTACAAATTTTCAAAGGACAAATCTGCGATGGCTCTATAGATAAATATCTTTTTCATGACATACTCTGACTGTGTGCCAGTTTTCATGCTTTTATTATCAAATGAACAATTCCATCATATTGTGCACCAATCTGCCTGACCACATTAATGGCACGATCAGTCTCGGCCCATCTTGGCTTCACATGAAGACTTATTTCCCACTCTATTGTGCAGTTGCCTGAACTCCTGCCTCACTTATAATATTTTAGTTTTACTTTCCCCCTTATTTTCTATGCTGCATGATAATTTCATTTTTTGGATTACAAATATTGTGGACATTTGCTCATACAATCTTATTATAATTTTTTTTTTTTCGTTTGTGAACATATAAGAAGCGCACCTGTTTTCCCCCAGAATCTGCAATATGCTGAACCCTTTCCTCGGGTTGAAATGAAGAAATACAATGTAGAACCCCTTGATGAAATGTGACAGCGCTTTTGACACACTAGGCAGCTTGCATGCCCACTCCATAAATTCACCGAAACAGCTCATGAATTGTAAAGAGCTTTAATGTGCATATAAAAACACTGAGGCCGTCCTTTATCTGGGCAAGATTATTCATCTGATACTTGAAACATCAGGTCTGCCTATAGGTAGGAAGATAAAAAAAAAATCGCCCTGTAGTAACCCGTTTCCCAGATAGTGTTTTTATCCTATTAAATCAAGAGAGCAAGCTTGTGAATTTCATGACTAGGCCTATTTGTTGTCTCCGAGGAAATTTGAGAAACATGAAAAGATTCGTGATGGATCGTTTTAATTCCTGATATTTTTGATTCATGAAGAGATACCATGGTTGCTGTTGGGAGCATTTTCCATAACTTGGCAGCCTCTGTCCTAAATATATGTTAATTGGAGCTGTACATGTACATGCAGATTTGAAAGTCAGCGAACACCTGTAGAAATATTTTTATATTTGCTCACACAATATTTAATTAATAAACCACAAAATAACTTAACGTATCACAGCTAGCTTTTGGTTTGAAGGTGTGGAAAGTTGGTCAGTTACATGTAGATGTTAGGTTGCCTTAGCACAATGTAGTTACACCTCTTTTGTCTCTTCAAGACGTATGGAGCATACTGTCCGAAACGTCGTGTTACCCAAACCGGTTCTTTTTTTAGAACCACGCAGAGTGGCAGAAGAGATTTGACGCATGGTGTGATTGCAAAATTAACATCTATCTTTTGTTTTATAGATGAAAAATAAGTTAATCATTGAAGATAGTTTAACTCAGTTCACTTAAATCAAACTGCATTTTGAAATTTAATTTTCCAAAGGTTTGAATTTATGTACCGACCATACATGTATACTGTCTTAGTATTCCAGTTTTTTTAAAGTAAAGAATAAAAGAACGAAATACAAATAACATCTGCTTGTCTGCACATTTCCAATCAGTTGTAAACTGAGCAATTATCTTTGAAGTGCCGCGTCTGAAATGAAACATTTGCCACAGAGGGGATGTGAGAGAGAAGTATTGTTATCATGCTGCATTCCAATAACATTGGTTGGAATTGAACACCTATCGTAGCGAGGTGTGATTTGTGTATGCCGGTACTGCTCATTGCCGGCACCGTGGGGCACAAGAGTCACCGCCAGATGATACGTTTTAATTGTCGCCAAACCTGGGGCCCCAGCGATTGCTTTCCCGGCGGTGGTGCCGTCTTAATTCAAAAAAATATCCCTACTCATAAAACTTATTACATGAGGCAGCCAAACAGCGCGCAGCGCCTAGCCACGCATGATATGCTTTTTGTAATATCGCGAGAGGCCCACCGGCTTATGAGGCATGTCCGGTGTGTGTGTATGCGTAAGGGGCAAACCGGGAACGTGTGAGATTATACATGTGGTGAAGTCGCAACCGTGTGAAGCGTGTATATATGCATACGACACGTAGAATAACATCCCGACCGGTATTGTCGACAGTTACAGCTCAATTAATTCCACACGATTGTGACGGAAGGAAAACGGAATCTAAATGAGGCGGGGAGGAATCAGAGACAGTTTATTTAGTGTTTTTTTTTTATTTATTTTTTTATTGATATCCACCTGTTTTACTTAAATATATACAATATATAAATTTTTTTTTTGTAAACTGTACAGTCACTTGCATGCTTGTTTATTGCATCATGAGAACTCTGCACGCAAGAAGGTGGGCGTTTGTGCACAGTTGTGACATTTCAAGTTAAATTTAGATACATGTAAGCTTTTGAATGACGTAATTAAGAATGGTTACGTTCTTATTCCCTCCATCCTGCAATATCTGTCAAACATCCCGGAGAGCTTGTAAGGGTCAGGGAGGGTTACATACCGGTGCCTGTATATTGTAGAACAAGATTTAAAAAGGTAGCGCTTCCAATTAATTTTTTATATTAAAAAGTTTCTATTAGCAACCTTAAAACCACTATAACCAAGAACATTTTTTTAATGAAAACATGGGACTACATTTTTTAATTGGAGTACATTCAAAGTAAATGTACAGCCAAGTACCATGAAAAGGCAAATAAAAGAATTCGAAAGAATTCAAAAGTTCAATTGTTACAAAATGTTCTCATATGTGAATACAAACTCACTATCTACATGTAGTCGACTATGCCCTGTTGGTTTTTCTTTTATACGCACAGGTACTTTATGGCAGACATGGTGATCTGCCATGCGTGTCTGTTCGGTACCTTTTTATATAAATTTCCCTTCTACCGATACATGGCTTTTTGTGTACAGTGAAAAAAACACCAATACTTTTGATGATTTCTTAGAGGAGTCAGGTTGGTGCAGTGGCTACTTTCCTGGCCTTCGCTTCCACCACTGTGGCCTGGGTTCAATTCCTGCCCTGGTCCACATGTGGTTTGAGTTTTCAGTCCCTACCTGATCCCGTGGGTTTCCCCGAGAATATTCTTCTGGAGTTTTCCTCCCACCTCTAAGACTGTAATTTCTTCTCATTGTCTTCTTTTCTTACAGGTTTCTCCTGGCTTTCGAACAGCAGTACCTAGGGCACTTTTGAGGAATCCTTGGTTTTATTATCAGAAAGATATCAATAAATTCTGAATTTGAAAGGGGAAAAAGCTTCTTCTTTTTTGCACTTTACAATTACATATATATATACAGATTGCACCCTAGTTACACGTATGCCAACAGAAGTTCATCCATTGGAGGGCAGTGTAGTAAAAGTTCAAAGCACAAAAGATTGTAGCTGACCGGCAGTTACACCTCACTGGAACCATACATGTGACCTTCTTTCAATTATCAACTGTATATAAAATACTATCACCCAAACAGGGTAAATTCTGGTCACAGCTTGTTGTGCTTCATTGGTTTAGGGCCGACTCAATTCACGGGTGTACGAAATATCACAAAGGCTAAGGGGGGGGGGGGGGCGCATGGCACGGACACCCCTCAAAACCCCTAGAAAGGGTCATATAATTCGAACCCTACATGTATTCCTTTTTAACGTGCTATGGGTAAAAAGGATTATGCTAATGTTTGATACTTTCTCTGAGTGTATCGGAATATAATAAGCCAGTTCGGTGTCTTGATGAAGTAGTCCAGGTGAAAGGTCATTCGAGAAAAAATCGCTGATGCAATGTTACGCGTTAATGTCCATTCCACTCATAATTAACGCATGTGCGTCGTGCGACCGTTTCCTTGCGCGTTCATGGGCCTTTGATGAGTGTTTGAAAATCCTGAATGACCTATGACCCATCATTGTGGGCATGAGCAGTTGCAATACCAAACTGGCTTATTGTGACCATTGTAACAATTTTGACGTACTACATGTACATGTACATCATTTACATGTACAAAAGTTAAACATGTCTACATGTGTACGTATGGAAGGTAAACAAGTTGATGCCTGTGTGTAGTTTCTTCAAATATTGTCATCTATTTCTAATCTGTTTTTGTGTTTAAATCCAGTACAATTTTTTTCCCAGGTTATTTGGTTTCATGCAGAAATTTGTTTTTCCAATCTCCAAATTATAAAATGGACATCAAACTCTTCCTCGTCTTCTTGCCTTATGAGCTACCCATATGGTGCAATACTTGAATTTTGAAGAATCCTTGTCTGCATGAACCAAAAACAATATGGTAATATCCAAAAGGGAGGATCATTTGTGTCACTTTTGTTTTTGGCTACTTCATTTTGCTAATGTTTTTGTTTCTTCCCTTTTATCTTGTTGTAGTTATGGAGATATTGTACCCAACACAGTCATAGGCAAGATAGTGGGTGGAGTGTGTGCCCTGAGCGGTGTCCTAGTCATTGCTCTCCCTGTTCCAGTCATTGTCTCCAACTTCAGTCGAATATACCACCAAAACCAGAGGGCTGACAAGCGAAAGGCGCAAAGGGTAGGTACATCCTCCAAACTTTTGTATTAACCACAACTCCCTAGGCATTTTTGCCAGGATGCAACCTCAATCCTGCAAACTCCTCCAAGTGTCTCTGTGTCAAAAATGCGTACATCTTCAATCCTGCAAAATCCTCCGTTATTTCTTGAATGTGGTCCTTGGAGGGGTGACCGCTGCCTCAATCCTGCAAAATCCTCCAGCAGTCACTGCCAATATGTTGAGGCAGAGCCAGTGACATCCTGGAGTAGTGCGGGGGATTTCAAGTATGTATAGGCCTAACTTTATGCACGACTGGGCATAAACAACACAAGGTCCGGTCCAAGACCTTGACACAGTGCATCCTCCAAACTCAGCCACACATTTTTGCCATATAGCGTCAATCCTGCCAAATTCTCCATTTTGCAAAGAACATTTTGGAGGATTTGTGAAGGTTAGGGTTAAGACACGAGCTAGTTACCTCTGAAGTGCTGCCCTGTTCATGTCATGTGGATCATTCTTTAAATTGGAATTCACTTTTTTTCTCCGTCCCTGTTACATTCGACGTCTATGATTTTATAATTCTGATGCACTCCTTAATTCAGTCAATCCTCCAAGAGTGATTATGAATCAGCAAACTGCTTACGAACAAATAAAGAATGGTTTCAAGTCATTCGTAACGATCCTTGAATGGCAACTTTACAGAGTATATACCAAAGTAACAGGGACAAGAAAAATGTCACTCTCTTGACCCTAATTTTTTTAGAATGCCCTAATTTTTTTTTTTAGAATGACCTATTATGTGAGTTTTAGTTTCGAGTCCAAACTACAAAACTCGCATTCTAATCTCCAGCAAAGAAATCTTTGCTTACCAAAGCAGAAAAGCTGTGCTTACATGTAACTAAATTCTTTTTCTCTCCCTAAATATTCAAAGTTACGGATGCTTGGCCATGCACACAAACTTCCATTCAAGAGTAACTTTTTTGCGTCAATTTTACTGCCACTGTTTAGTTTTTTCTCTCCCTCTCTTCTGGCATGACAGTCCGGCCTGAAACGATGAATAACATTGAATTGACCTAACACCGTTTGCAAGTTAGCCACGCCCCTTAGACAACCCTATAGAACTTTGTACATTACATTTTGTTTGTATCAGATTTTGCGCATTCCACGTCCATTTGTATATCATGAAATTGGACAATAATTCACAAGCTGCGTTGACACGATTCTACCGCGATAGGTCAATTGCCAATAAGCCTTACACAGCAAAGCTGAGCATCTAAAACTTATATTTCTGTGTATTTACAATATTAAGCACCTGATGGAGCTTTCAGTTACCAGTCTCTTTTTTTGTGGGGGGGGGGGGGGGGGTTGCGGGGCTGGATTTTGCTGCTACTACGTATGTACATTGTACAATGTATCTTTCCACATTGCTGCATATTTCATGTGCTTATTATGCTTAAGAAATGATGTTTGAAACTTTTTCAGTTGTTTTTCCCAGAATATTGCAGGCAAGTAAACTTGTGTTTTTCTTCATGTATGTATTTGCTACCTCCTCAAAACATCAGTATCTGCCTTCCACTTGAAAAGAGAGAATTCTTTGATAATTAAATGGGGACAGAACGTTTTTTCAAATAACCCTTTTTCCTGTTTATTTGCTGGGTCATTAATTTTAAAGACCTTACAACAGCATCCCCAACATGTGACAGCCATAATATATCGGTTATTGCTTTTCTTCCTTGGTTTTTAATTTTTTATTATATTTTGAACCTCATATTCTTTCTCAGTCCATCAGAATGGTCGTCATGATGAAACCCAATATTGCCATAAAGCCAACAGTCTGGTTTAGCCATTAATTTAAGTACAATTACTGATGATGAATCACATGGCTTTGCCAATAACTTCACCATGTGAGACCAATCCCATTGTTCCCTCTCGTCTGCTTCCCTGGCAACCTTCCCAATTTGGCCATTCCAATATCGAGCAGTTCATGTGTTGTACTCCGTCTCAGTTGCCATAGTGATAAAGTCACTCATCCGGTTTGGCCTTGCTAAGGATTGTGAAAATTATATTTTCTAAAATTACACAGTTATATTATCTTTGCACTGTACTGGTATGAACCTTAAATCCAATTCCACCTCTGTGTAAGAACCCAGGGGAATATTAGAATCCTAGTTTTCACCAAGCATAAATACGTCGCCAAGGGGCGGGGGGGGGGGGGGGGGGGGTTCTTTGGCGAGCAAAAGCAAAAGCCATACATACTGGTTTGTATTTTTGTATTTTGTAGTGGGGCCCCCAAGTTGGTACTATGGCCCCCCTGATGCTCAGGACTGGCGACGGCGCTGGCCGGGCTATACTTTTATCAATCCTGCAAAATCCTCCTGAAACCTGCTGACAGCTTTAGAAAGATCTGAAAGGGTCAGGGTTACAATGTAATTACATGTATGTACTGAAGTTTAAGGTGACACTAAACCAGGCACACTCGTATTCAAATGTATGATATCAACCAGTAGTCCCATTTCAGTCAATGTTGTAGGACTCAAGTCCAGGACTCAAACTCGAGTCTGTCTAGAGTCGTCATTTTTGTGACTCAGACTCAACTTGATTCACATCAGAAAAAGAGTCGGACTCGGGCTCCACCAGCATGACTCGTGACTTGCGAGTCACATATTTTCTTACCAAATAATATTTTTAAAAAACCCATAATTCTGATGTTTATTTTCCAAAAGTAACGTTAAAGCAATTTACGTTTAAGAACGTTAAGAACACACACTGTACCGCAGCACTCTCCAAACATAATAATGTTTGTAAGTAAGTGCGCCCCCGCCTGTTTCCTGGGACAACGCATCATTGTACTTACCGGGTACATGTGTGTCCATATCCATGCACGTCCATTTCGTATCAAATTGACTCAGACTGGGACGCGAACTTGAGTCAAATGACTCGAGTCAAATGACTTGAGACTCGGACACAGACTCAACCCACGTGACTCGAAACTCTCAGACACGGACTCAACTTTAGTGACTTGACTACAACACCCATTCCAGGAATCAGCCATTCTAAAAGAAATAATCTCAGCAACCACATTGAGAGTCAAGTTTATTCTTACTAAGTGAAGCGTGCGAACTTGCTTGAAACCTATGACATGAAGTATTTGGTCTTGCGTACTTTGGCCACGTAATCAGGTTCTTCAGAAGCCAGGGTGTGACGTCAAAGGAAGGTCAGGAGTAACAAAGTGAGACCGTGACGAATTCTTTAAGTACATGCGTGCATGCATAAAGTCAATTAAATTTTTGTATTGGATGTCATACAGCATGGGTGTGCCCACTAGCCATGGTTTTCTGTTGTTGCATACGGTGCAGAGCTAGACAGTTGGTTATTTCAGGCAAGGGATTCAATTTATTTGTTGCCTCATCTTATTGTCCTGCCATTGGCTCTAGTTTGATTGATAGCATTATCTTTGCTGCATGTATTGGTGTGATATTTTGTAATTTTAGACAACTAAAAGTCAGGGTTTTCTCATGCTTGAGAAAGTTGATAGAGTCCAGTTGGACATAATTATTAAAGACTGACAGTCAAAATCTAAATGCAAACACGTGAATGTAACAGATGCCGGTTCGGGAAAACTTGTAAATCTCTGGGATGCCCAAGTTAGAATTTGGACAATGGAGAGGTTTGTTGTTAGACTTATTTTAAACCCAAGAATAAGAAGGCCCAAGGCTACTATTTTGGCCAATAGATATGAAATACAAAAGTTTGTTGTTTTACTGACACAAAGGGCTTCCTTGTATCAGTATGGCCAGAATCTACACTCTACTTTGTCGTGTGTTCTGTCATTTAAAGTTGCGTTCCCGTGCTCTTCAACAAATTTGATTGTTTTCTATTATTACATTTTCAAACAGTGTGTTTTATTCAAATAAAAGTCCTTTTTTTTTTTCTTTTGGAAATCTGCAACCCTCTGAAAAAAAAAAAGGTTTTAATGTTGGCACAAACAGATCCGCCTTAATACGAGGAGACTGGTTTTTGATCCCTGCATTATCAATACTGATCATTGGGCATGAACCAGCCTATCCCATAAGAGCAGAATTACCAACGGGCCACAAGTAATTTAATATTTTGAAAGTAATGATTCAGTAATGTAAACGTGGGTCGATTATTGTTTTCAGTCGATGTCTCATTCAAAAATCAATCACTAGTAAAATAGCAATTGAAATAAAAATCTATTTTTCGGGGTCAGACTCAAAATAGCACTGGGAATGCATCTTTAATGTATAACATTAAAGTAATGGATAAACAACAACCCCTATCCCAGTGAAACGAACTTGCCGGCATGTACATACATGTACAAATAAGCTTCCTGTGCACATGAATACACCTTATACATGGAAATTGAATTATATTTTTCGCATTGGATGACATGGATGAATGGGTCCTCTATAGAATAAAATGTTACCAGTGAAGGTCATTCGTGTGGCATAAAGGATCTTTTATAACTTTAAAAATCCAGACTGAGTGCATACAAACATGTCTGTAATCTAATCCGTGCATCATACCTGTGTACATGGAATACAGGTATGTACTCATCAATTTTAATATCAGACATCACTGGTCTATCTAAACATATAGCAGCCAAATATTCCACATTTCACATTGATACTGCCATACATGTGGTGTCATGTGGCATAGCATCCTGGGGGGGGGGGGGGGGTATTTATCCCCACCCTCCTATTTTCCCAGAGTTCCCCTCTTTTTTTACAAGTGCCATTTTTTATAATGTCCTGCGAACGTTGGCAATTGTGCCGCCATGAAGAGTACCAACTATTGTCCGATAGTGCCTTTGATCCTCCGCTTTGAGTGGCGGCCTGATACAATGTGTAGGTATACATCCAGGCCCCCAGACAGTGAAAAATTGTTTTGCAAACAAAAGTTGGTATCCATGTTGATTTTTATAAATTTGGTATCCATGGTGATTTTTCTAAACATTTGGGTTTGTGCTGTACAACAATTGTTAACAATTGAATGGTTTTGGTAACTACGTATTTTGCTGTAATATGCTACAGTGAATCCTAGTAAGACCCTTCACAAAAGTTCTTACGTATTGTGCTCATGAAAAGAAAAAATTCAATACTTACTGCCAGACTGTCTGTATTCTCTGCTTTCCGAGAAAAAAATCGTTTAGGTTCATTAGTTTCAACTTTCATTGGATTGAGAAATGCAAAATTGCTCTTCAGGTAGTGTCCCAGTTTTTAGGGATGGCCAGGAAAGTTCATGTGAACAACTTTCTTGAAAGTTCAGGAAAATTTGAGGAAATGTAGAAAAAAAAGCTGTTCTTTTGTCGATACACTTTTTACCCATGTTGCTGCCTCCAAAAAGAAATTTGATTGGACATTTGCATTTTTCCTTAAAAGCTTTGTCTGTTCTTCTTTTTACAGAAAGCTAGGCTCGCCAGGATTCGACTAGCAAAGAACGCAAGTGGTAATGCCTTTGTCACACGCAAAAAGGAGGCAGACAGATTAGCAGAGGTAAGGAATATGTTTATGTTGTGTAATCCTACATGTTTTTGGTGGCGCAGTGCGAAAAGCTCTTGTCTCTAACCGATGGCACTGTGGCCCTGGTTCGATTCCTGGCTCAGGTCATATGTGAATGGAGTTGTTCATTGATTCTCTCCTGTGCCACAAGGGTTTTTCTCCGGTTCTCCGATTTTCCTCCCTCTGCAAAAATCAACACTTTCGATCTCTGGCTGTGCTCCGTGTTCAGACATGGGTTGTATGGTGGCTGTCAAAGGCATCTTTACATGCTTTCGGCTTTACCACGTTGTAGCTGCGTCCTTCGTAGTTGAATTTCTGCTGCGAGTAAGGACAATTAGCAACCCCAAATTTGTACCTACCCAGCAATCCAGTATTGGCACACCTTGAATCAGAGCTATGGTACCAGCATTTTGGGGAGACGTAGCAAATGATGCAGTGATGAGGCTCTCTTTTAGCACTTCCTTCATTAAGGCGCCTTTCTGTATGAACGTTTTTTTTGTCAGTAAGCGTGTGCACTGAGTTCATGCGTTTCATTTTTACAGACACAAAAATCAACTCCATATTGTAGCACACGTCCCTTTTCATATTGACGCATACGCAATTCTTGGCGCAATAACCCCCTGCCATGACCACGTTGCAATCAAAATGATGGTAAGCCCCATTATCTTCCTGCTTGGGAAGATTTCACGGACCCACACCCGGTGTTTTCTTTTTTGGTTGGACTGAATTCTTTTTCTGTAAGCTGCAGCTGCAATCAGTAGACGCATTTGATTTTGATAATTTGCTATTTTTTCTTTTTCCCACGCTGCTAACTGAATTCATTGCCCATACTTCACGTATATGGAAAAGTAAATCACGCGCACAAAACGCATCGCGTACGCAATATATACGCTACGAACATAACACGGACTGGAAACGTGCATATGGAAAGGCGCCTTTTGGTCCATGTTCAACTCTTTCAGTCGCTCAGTCTCTTATTTTGTTGTAACCCTTAGACCAATTTCAGACGTTTCAGAAAATTAATTCATCAGTTTTGCCCGTCTGAAACCCAAATCTATCAAAGCCAGTCTGAGTTGTTCCTACTTCAGTTCCATTTGTTGCGACTGTGGAACACCAGTGTCAAACTGGTGTCTATCCTCTCAGCATTTGTCTCAATACTTCATGAATCCTTGATATCTCAAGACTGTGCAGTCAAGTAATAGACCTTATTCACAAGGAGGCCATTTTGGATCGTGTTCCCTGAATCTGTTTATATAAATTGAAACTCTTGAATGAGATGGTGCCAGACTACTTTACGATTGGAGTGCATTCCAATTGACCTATCGCCGTTTGCGAGTTAGCCACGCCCCTTAGACAACCCTATGGAGTTTTTGTACACTCTGTTTTGTTTGTCTCAGATTTTGCGCATTCCGCGTCCATTTGTTTATTATGTAATTGGACAATATTTCACAAGCTGCGTTGACGCGATTCTAACGCGATTCTATCGCAATAGGTCAATTAAGCCCCGCTTTCACTTCTTTTTTTTAAATTGTCGCTTAAAACATTAGGGTACTGGTAGGTTTAATCACAAATTTTAAATAAATTCATCAGAGCAGACTGGTATTACTTTGTAATGAACTTTTATTTCATTGCTTTCATTTTTACTCGCAAGTTCCAAAAAATGAAGAGAAACGGTACCTCACTTTCAATTTAATATGGCCGACATGTGAATAGATGGCAAATTCTTCAAAGCAAGCCCTGAGTGAAATAACGGTGGCTGGGCTGTATAGATCAGATTTACTGCAACAGAAGGTGTTGTAATTTTGCATTTGTACGGGATTTGAAGATTACAATGTAGGCTGCTTAAGCTGGACTTTTTTTGGTACTATACAACGTCATAAAAACATCTATAAACTTTATTTTTGTACACGGTTGATCTTTCAATTGGAGAAAATTAAAATTCGTCAACAAAGAATGCACTTGTCAGATAATTTCATTCAATACATCACTTGTTCTGATGCAACAAGGTTTTCATTGTCGAAATAACCAACAGCCAGTTTCAATTTCTTGTACATGTAAATGACAGGCCTTTTAAAATTATTTGCTGGCACAGTATCCCATCATATTAAACCCCAACTCAATATTAGCCCAGCCATATTGAAAAGCAGTATTATCTGTTTGTTGAGTACGACCAGGGATTTGTGTACGTGTTATGACCTCTGACTACTTTGAATTGACTGTAATAGCGTGGAATGAGGCTGTCGTGCAATACGCAACAAGTCCCTGTACACGAGTAGTATATCCTGCATCTTTTTGTGCTGCAAGGAGTGGCCATCAAAATTTATGCCGCGTAAGGCTGCCTTCGGTCTGTTTGTGTGTTGACTTGTTCCTGCTGCATGCTTGTTTGCCGTTAAGGCTGAGACAATTAGCATTCAAGGACTCTGCGCATACTAATTACCTGAAGTGGTCATACTCATAAGTTATACATGCAGATATACACAGTGTATTACATCGCATGCATGTATTATGCCGGTATGTTTATCAGATGCAAGCATTTAGCTTTTAGTCATTATACCAGTTTATGTTGTTCTTATACATTAATGTGGTATGCAGGGGATTGTATCTTTTTATTGTATGCACATGTCTAAAATTTCTTTTCTTTTTCACCATTTTTACACAACTGCTGTGCACATATATGCACTGTATGTATATCATTTTTAATTTCGTTACATTTTTTATTTACATTATTAAAATCACCTGAATTACATTTCAATGACATGTTGTGAAAACATAATAATTTAGGCCTACTTTTATTTAAGAAACTACGAACTGCCATGTACATGTACATGTGTTTGTGAAAGAAGCCTACATGTATATGATAATATGGCACACAATTGTGCAAGTCATGTACAAGTATTTACATGTACATGTATGTACTTATTCATCGTGCATCAGCACAATTATCACGGAACTTATTTTCACATTCCTCATAAGGATAAATTGTTGTCTTTGTAAACACAGTGATAATCCGGAGAGTTATGCCAATTGTCAACAGTGGACCATGTGCTATATTGATTTGGAAGTCATGTCCAGGTACATGTATTCAACCCTCTCAGTCTCCGACTCTTACAATTTTAATCCACTTACACCTAATGGAGACCCCCAATTTGCCGCCATTTCAAATGTTAATCGGTCATTTAGCAATTTTGTTCAATTAAACCCCAGCAACTTATGTAACTTTTGCATGGGTTATAATGGGTCCCACCGTTTGAGGGTTTATTGAGTGGGTATTGCAAATGGAAGTCTTGGGCTCTCCAGAGTCAGCTTACGTAACCCTCCCAAACCATTACCGGGACAACGGACGTGACGTCAGTGCCTCGATCGGCTCAGGAGTCCTGTTAGTGTGAGCAGCTTCATGGGATCTGGGTATACCGGCAGAATGTAATTAGCGGCATTAATTAGGCGTTCAAGCCGGATTTCCCGTCAGCTGAGACTTGATGATGATGGGAGATTTTGGGGCAGGGTTATTGCTCATCTGAAGCCTTGCATACGTACCATACACATACTGTTATTGTAGGGAATTTGGGTGCCGATACAGTATTCAGCTGTAACAATTTGATAGTCTGAGCTGATTTTTTTTGTTATGGGTAAGGCATGAGCTACCGTGTAGGTGGCATTTGCGATTGACAGTCCAGTACCTAGATGTTACATATACCCATTGATAAATATTTGAGCAAGTTATTATTACAAATTTATTTACATGTACAAGCTAAATTCCTTGTAATAGAATTAAATATTTTGCTGTTTCTATTCAGTTGGAAAAGCTTTTAAATATATATATCAAGTAATCACCTCATATACAAAGTTTAAACTTTCTTTGTGAGTAATCATTGTCTTATAAACATTAAAAAAAATTAATACATTGATAATTTATGCTCAGTGAACTGATGAAATGGGCCGACAGTAAAGTGTAGATCAGTTTCATCCAGGTTCCGAACGGTTATAATTTAACTGCCTGGCCAAAAAAAAAAAAAAAATTGTGGTAATGTGATCGAGGGTTGGAGGGGTGAACCTGCTGGGAGTTCTCATCGTTAGCATTTGAGGACAATTTTCTTGACGTCAGCGTCTCCTCCGGATCCACCTTAAGACCCAGCAAGTGGCCATCTGCTCCCTGCGGTTTGCCGAGCTATGCGCATTAATGCTGCGGCGCGATGTGATAAGTTCATCACAGTCCGTCGGCTCATCACACAGTGCTGGTGTGTGTTTTTTTTCTCCAGGAGACATGTTGTGTTACTGTGTTACTAGCTGAATTTACCAGGAGAGCTTGTTGTGCTTGAATTTTACACTCTTCCAGCTGGAGAATTCTACTCTAGCATCACCTGTTTTCACCTTTTTTCACTCGTGCATCTTAATCCGCTGTTTGCTGTATGGATTTTGAAAAGTAGGGCTTTACCAGGTGCAGACCAGATATTGCGTCAAATGAAAGCTTTAACCATGTCTACAAAAATAATTCTTTTATTTGCAAACGGCACCTGTTACCAAGAACGTCCAGATTATTGTATCACTTCCAATTTGTTGTTCATCTTTTAAAAACGCCTTTGCATAACTATATACTACATGTTCATCATCATGTATGTAGGTGTGCATGTTAATTCATTGTTCTTGGTAGAGAGTCCTATACATGATGAATGCGTACATGTCATCTTCACTGTAAAAATAATGGAGGTTACAAAATCAATATCACTATATTTCATGTAGAAAAACAGAAGTTGACTATTCTTCATAAAACAAACAAAAAGCGTGCACTGATCATTTTGCAAAATACCATTCAGCAAAATACCATTCCATTGCTAATGCTTCTTAAACACATATTTCAAAGGATAAGGATGCTTATTGCAAAGTTAAACACATACCAGTAGGCTCAAAGTCCTCAAATTAATTGTTCTCAGAATTGATGCAGATTTGCGGCTGTGCAAATCTTCCTTTCAAGGGCCATCTGGGAAATGCACCATATC